TCTAGTTTTAACATCAGTTAAAACATTAAGTGGATTTTTATCATAATCATCTAATAATTGTCCCATAACCTTTTGAGTTTTGTGAAGTCGTTGAGCTTGTTTTGGTAAACGAAAAAATGCTTGTAAACATTTTACCCGACGATGTATTAACTTACATTACTTTAATCCTTCTAAAACTGAAAGTTGTAATGTATGAGCGGCATAAGGTTGGCGTTCTATTTGTAATATATATTATTCTCTCAATAATCGAATAGCTTTAATCATATTAGCCCCATTGTCTGTTGCAATAGTAAATACTTTGTTAATTAAATGCCAATCATTTAAAACTTCCATTATTTCTGCATTAATAACTTCTCCAGTATGTGGGTATAAAAGATGGTTGCATGATAAAAGAGCTTCTTGAAATTCAAAATTAGATGTTAACCATATAATTGTTATACCAAAATATCCTTGATGAGACTTTGCAATCCATAAGTCCATAGTTAAATGAATAGAATTAATGTTATTACTTAAAAGCAATTTAAGTTGATCTTACTCTATATAAAAGATTCATAAATTATTGCTTTTACAGTCTTATCACATAGTATTCTAAATCCAGGTTCACAAGTAAGTAAAAATTCGCGAAAAGAAGAATTTTATAAAATATATAATGGTTGAATAAGCTTAATAATAAAAGTAACAAGCTTTTGAGTGATAAGTTCTTGACGTTATTGTGAACATGGAGCTGCTGCCTTTAAATATTCTGTGATTTGTTTTTGATCACGTTGCGGCTATTAATAAAAAAGTTTAAAATTAAGCATAATATACATTAATAATAAATGCCAAATTTCAAAATAAAATTATAATAATAATACCTCATTAAACTCATCCAAAAATCCCATGTAATTTTCCTTCGTAATGTTATGTTTATCACGTAAATGATTAATAAGATTCATTGTATTTCCCCCCTTTCGATTATATGGATATGCCTTTTATGTGTATTAGCTAAATTAACTTCACATATCTTGCAATAAGTAACAGAAGAATCATTTAAATCCAAATGAAAAATAGGATGTATGGCTACGATTACTACGAGATTTGGTAATTATATCAGTCACTGTATTATTTTTACGTTTTTTTCAGGCTAAACTACTAATACTTGTAATAGTTTTAGCATCAGAATCAATATCAATAGGAAAAATAGATTCAAAAGGTGGTAAAGGTGAGTTTTCCATTTTTCTTTGTCAAAAAAAAAATAATTTTCTTGAATAAAAACTAAAAAAAAATTTTTTTTTATCACTGCATTATATTGGTAACAAGAATATTATACATAACGGGAAATATACGATATCGAAAGTATACAAAAAAATGTATAATCTAACCAAATTAAAAATCACAAAACTTCAGAAGAAACAAATTTGAATGATTAGGCCTACATATTTGCAAATATAAAAACAAAAAAAAATCGCGAAAATAATTAATTTCTTTATAAAAAAAAAAAATTTATTTTTACCTCAACGCTATTGTCGAAATTAGATTAATATCTAATATTGCATATTATCAAATGTTACATAAATGTCATATGTATGTCATAGTTTATTTAATGCATAAAACAGGTTTTATGTGATCACCCGGTTAGACCAGTTTTATTAAATTCGAATTTTCGCAATCAACCGATTTTATTAAAACTGGTTTTTGAATCTGAAAAAGCTAGACCCGGTTTTCTATTGCAACTAGTTTAAACCAAATTTAAATTGATTTACGCCAAACCAGTTCCAACCTCTATATCAGATATCTGAGAAATGGCAGATATCTTAAAAGTAAAGTTATATGAAGACTTAGAAGACGCCAGAACCTTCTTTTACATTAATAATTAATTAACATTAATAATCGATTACATATCTTATATTTCTTTATTTTATTTATTTATATTATCAAATTTCTTATAAATAGGGTAGCTTTAGAACTTCATAAATAATTTATTAGATACACTTATATACTAACAAATACACTTGTAATAAATCTTTTATTAATAAAACTCTAAATCACTTAACCCATAAATCATATTTTGACTTGAAATACATTTGATCAATAAACCTTCAGAAGCTCTTCATAAATCGTATCATAAAGTCTTAAAGCTAAATCCTTTGTTAATCTTACGTCAATACTAATTTTCAGTCACTAGTATCATAAGATAACAATTTGGTGTAGGTTGGATGAAGCATAAAACCAATCTAACAAAAGGTATATCACATACATAAAGCAGTTAGACAACTTAATGTAGTAGTAGGACCTATTCTTCTCCAATTACAACTATAAATCAATGAGATTAGGAATCAATATAGATTATTGGAGGAAAAACAAGACATTTCAATTAACAGTCTCAAAAGATTACAGAATAACATTAACAATTTGAAACACTTTATCAATTTTCATAACATTCAAGTCACGTAGGACGAGCTAGTATTCAGTGACAATTATTTTAACAACGAATCTTAAAATATACTGGAGGATTTCAATACAGAGCATACCACTGAAAAGAAATACTTACAGACCTTCAACAACATATTACAGCACATAACCATAAAACTAGATTTATTAGTCACCTAGATCAGTCTTATCTACAGTATCACCCAGATTATGAAACTCAATCGGAAAAATTATCAGCTTTTGATAACTTTTAGTTCTTGTGGATTACGCCTAAGTACGACTTTGAATCTTATACAACTTTTACTGTAGCATATTTTATAAGAGCACAAGAAAGTGAGGAAAACTAGACAGAAAGAGAACAGTTATTAAAATACCTATTAAGAAAATTATTACTATAATAGATATAAGAATAACTTATTGAAAAAGTCATTTGACGAAATCGCAGATAATTTGTATCAGACCTAGATACAGACTAACCGATTCCAATCTTGGAAAACTAAAAGTATATAGTAGCAGTCCAACTATTAGTATTACAGTCCGCGATATAAATATCTAGAATTTTATTGGTAACACAAAAAAGCCCCTATACTGCCAATTTACATCCGATCAAAACAAAAATTAAAAATAGCAATTAATTAGCTATTTATAGATATAAAAATAATGCCACAAAAATTTCATGTGATTATTTATCAACAAAAAACTTAATCCATGGCGCCCATTTCAGTTTTTGAAACAAAACGTTTGACTGTAAAGGAATTATGGGTTAAAAACATACGAAAACCTTCTGAAATAATTAAAATAACTGGTTATCCAAGCTCTACTGTATATGATATTGTCAACCGGTTAAAAAAAACTGGAGA